CGCAAAATTCAAAGTAGGTTCTTCTTGTTTCGCATAGATTGTCTTATTAATTTTCATATTCACACAATATTGTCTAAAATTCATTAAATGAGATATAATGATTTATAACAATGAGAAGAATTTGTGATGTGTATGATGCATATATATATGTAGATCAAAATTCGCGGAAAATGGAATGAGAGATGTTTCATGAAAATTAATGCGAAATAATTTCAAACTTTAATCTTTGCAAGTTTGGAAGTGATATTATCATTATATTTCTGATTTACATTGCAACTCGTTAAAATGATCTCGGAGAAACCTCGAAAACCTTTTCACTCCACTCTAGATTACTCAACGATCCATCGCTCCTGCCATTTTACTTCGCCGAGTAGAGTTAAAGCATACCTTGCTCACGTTTGCACGAGATGATGCACGGATATTACCTATCCGCTCACTCCCTCAATACCTCTTTTCGCGACCAGGTCGAGGACGTATCCGGAGTCGGGGGATCAGGGGGGGATGCCTGGTTTTGGCTCGCTCGCGGATTTCGAATAGACGTATAACGAGCAACCGACGTTCCATCAAATCGGCTGCCGCCTTTGATATTTTTATGCGGCTTGCGCGGAAATTAACATCGCTGTAGCCGGACCACGTTTGCACAAGCGATTTTCGAGTCGAACCAAATTGACTCTTCAATGTTCGATACGATAATTGGCGAAATTTGGTCACCCGCCAATCGCATTGCTTCAAGGATTCGATTAACCTAAGCGAAATGAAGTCTGCTGAAAAAGGGCAGGATTGCGGTTTCATACTATATATTGGCATACGAATCTCTTTCGTATTGGGGTCAAGTTAGATGAGAACTTGAAATTAATCAATGCAGCTGAACGGGAAATCGCTCACAATGCGAGAGAAAATATTGACAATTGAGAATATTAAGCGCAAGGGATACAATTTCTTCGCTATTAATTTGTCATATTTAATTTCCATTCCTTACTCCTTTTGGAGATTGAGGTCATTTCTGAGATCACGCTCCCAAATTGGTGATGCGCTTTTGAATCGAATTTAGAAATCGTATTAGGTAGCGCAGAGCGGATAGTTGCGAGTCGGTCGTTTGTGTTTCCCTGAGTGCACCAATCGTCGACCCGATTTGGTTTGGGCATAAAGTTAGTTTTAGAGTTTGTCCATTAATCTTAGCTGTTGATCTGAATACAGTCAATGCAGCGTTGACCATACCTCCGGGATTCTTATCGCAACTAGCGCGGTCGCACATATTTTTCAACTTTCGTTACGTGTAGAGAGTTGTGGAATTTTTTTTTTTGGATAGATAAAGTACAGAGTATGTGTTTGAGTTATTTGCAAATATCAAAATGAGAAATATGTGGCATGCCAGATAGCGACACGTAACAACAACGTGAAAAGTTTTTAACTCCTATATTTCATAGTGTTTAAAGTTCTGCGTATTTTTATTTGAGTTCCCACGAGTAAAATAAATATTGTTTGTTTAGTAATTAATGATCTCCGAATTACGTGTAGATCAAACTAACATATTGCTCACAAAACGTTATTAAATAAAGAGAACCGGATGTTAAGGCTACGTGAAAAATGCAGCAAATTAAGATTCCATAATTTATTTTACTTTACGCACGATTTGGTAGAAGTACATCAATTCACTAAACGAGCTTACAAAGCACATCATAAAACTTTTATATAATTTCAATTAATTTTAATATAAAATGTGCAATAATTCATACTAAAATAGAGAATACAATTTAGCTCGCATAAATCACTGAACCATCATCATTGGTATACTGTAAAGTATTATGTATTCGTATTTTATGTGAAGCAGCATGATTTTCGTAAATTGCTTTCGCTAACAATAGGAATTTGACGCTGCAATTCGACTCATCGTTGGAGAACAGATCTACGATTGCTATCGCTGTCGAATAACTCGCGAGAACGAAGTTCTCGAGGCAATTCGACGTCGTAAGGCAATTCGTGCTCTCGGCATTAGACATGCGTTATTCTCGCACAAATCGCCCAACATATAAAGTTATGCATTTATACAGGATAGTTCAAAATTGCCATAATGTGCTAATTATTTTGTACGTATTTAAATAATATACTGACACACGTAAAACATAACAAATTGAGATCTTTTTTGAACGAAAGCTTCTCAAAAAGAGTAGTAGGAAACGTCATTTATGTATATTGAAATTATGAGAGGTAACTTTGAACGATCCTTTATACGTATGCCAACAAAGCTAAATGTCTATTCACATACGCTTGATACTATGTGTAAGTACGCGTATAGCTCTATATATAACATAGCAGAAATATTAAGAACCTATAAGTACATACGTACGCATTTCGAGAGAACACGAACACATAGGTATGAATATGCTATGATATCTACCTCACAAATGCTTAGATTTTCAATGTGCTAGTAACGTAGTAAATGCGTGCAAAGGTATGAAAGCGTACTGATACACAAGGTATATGTACATGAATCACGCATTTTGAGGAACCGTAGAATATAGCTTGCGATAAAAACAATGCTCTTTTACATATTTCTACATATAAATTTTCAACGAAATATAAAAAAGATAAGTCCTGCAACATTTTTTCTATAAATAGTGCAAACACTCCGCGCTTACAACTCTTTCGTGTACCTTGTAAAGAGCACTTTTTTCATGTTATAAATTGTGGTTCTGTTCGTTTTCTTTAGATATTTAATAATATTTATTATATTACATATTTAATAATATTTATTTTGACTAGTATATATATATATAAAAAGTATCAGAAACGTAAATTTTAAACGTGTGCTTACATTACGATTATATGGCAAAATACAAAAAATATTGTAAAAATGCAACTATATTCAGAGTGTTAATTCAAAAGAAGTATGTTCGAAACATTTAGAGCAGTGCTTAGAGAGTAAACTTTATTACTTAATAGTTACCGCATGTAAGTAATGGTTTTAGCCGTCAGGAAAAAGAACACTTAACGTTAGGTGTACGAGGTATTAGACTGTTTACGAGGTACATGAAGGAGTTGTAAGCGCTATTTACAGAAAAAGTGTTGCACAATTTATCTTTTTTATATTTCGTTGAAAATCGTTTTATATTTCTTTTAAAAATTTAGCAGCATTTGCTTGGATGGCGCAATTAAAAGATTATTAAAATGTAATGTGTTAACAACATTAACTCTTAATATTTAAATATGTTAAAAATAATTACAAACGTTTAAACGTGTTAAAAAATATTAATTCTGTAAATTAAAAAAACACTGTAAATAATTTTGTATATTCATTTCAAAGTAAAAACGGTTATAATTGCAATGCGTTCCAGTTTTTCTCTAATGTACGGATTAAATGTTGCGAAGTACGGAAGTGCGAGATATAAACCTATAAACAAAAGTAGTTACTTTATCATTTATTTCACTTTTAGGAAGCAATCTCAGAGTTAGATATAGAGCACAAGTACAACATTCTTGATTATTCCACGTAATCTGATAAAGGCAGAGGAAATTTTCAGCACTTTACCGTTACTAATATTTCATCGGTTAGCTACAAACTGATGAGAACTTTTCATCGCCGCCATTTCCTGAGAACTAACTTTCTGGCAGTGAAAGATGGCTCTTTTCGTAGAAAATACGATGATCACGAGTCGCTTGGGAAATCAGGGAAACAATTTTCTGTTTTTTAGAATAAAATAAATTCTAAAACAGAATAATCCATGTAGCTATTTCTTCTTTGAACTGTATTAGAAACTTAGATATTAAATCTTCAATAACGCATTAATAACTTCAATAACTAGGTAGTGGTATTTAAATAAAATTATAAAATTTATGTGTTGTGTTGAACAATGAAGTAATATACAATATTATAAGGACGATATATTAGATTGTCGTTAAAAAAATCTTGATAAGAACAAAAAAAGATTTACTCTCCTTTTTACGTGACAATAAAAATTTATCGGAAAAAAAATTTCTACTTGCTATGGAGGGCGAAAATCCACGATGCGAATGCACCGGAAAATATTCGGCGCATTTTGAAATTGTATTTTTTCAGATAAGTTGGATTGGATGCAAAGTGCGGGCGAAAATATGCAGGAGATAGAAAGGCATGCAAACTTTATTATCAGAGACAACGGACACATTAACGATACGATGCTTTCGTGAAGTTGATGGGATCGCGCCATCATCCTTTTCCTCGTCAAGAGTTAACGATTAATCGTGATCGAGGTCGCCAACGAGCAAAAACAAAAAGTTTGTATCTAGGAAGTTGGAGAGAAACAAGACAGCTCAATCAAAAGATGTATAGAGGAATAAAAAATCAAAGTCAGATTATCGTCAAATATAACGTTTGGAAAGATTTACACATAGCCGCAGTGTTTTCAACCAACATCGGGATAATAAAAAATTTACGTTTATAATAATATTAGAAATATACTACAAATATATACACGAAAGCGCACACATATGTTTTAAAACGAAAAGGGATGAAAACTGTCGCTACACGAAGAACGGGTTTTTTCAGTCTGCCATTCTGAAAAGTACTCTTATAACGGACAAAGTGAGATTGAAGGAAAGAGGATAACTCTCGTATGTAACGACATTGTTCGGAGCACCAAGTGTTTACGGAAGAGCGTAGAGAAACAAGAAAGAGAAACACTTCACCACTAGAATCTCGTTTCGCTGTAGAAAGTATCAGCGAGCAAATCAACTGCAACAAGAAATATTACGCAAGATCGGAGACTCTTATCGGTTGTTTCCTATTATTCTATTCGTCATATTACGCTGCAAAACGAATACGTCGATTATGTCTTAGTCAATTATCATTTTATGAAGCAAGAAAAACGGGAGCATAATTTCTAGAGGATTAAATAATAACAACCTGCCTGCCTTCTCTTCTTCTTGCTCAAATGAGCAAGTAATCCTCTAATTAATAATTAAAAAAATAAGAAACAAAGTTCAGAGAAACAAAAAATTTTTTAAATATATTAAAACTATCGAGTACAAAATTTAAGTTTACATGCCTCGAGTTGATCTGACGCGACTACAAAAATATAGGAGCGCAACGCGCAACGTTAGTCGCGTTTGAATTAGCGTTCAGATCTTTTCGGCAACGTCGCTTACTAAATCGTCACGGTGTGCGGATTGGGGCGAATTCTCGGCTACATCGGCGGACGACCGTCGGTGGGGGCCACCAACATGTCGCAATCCGGATCAGGTGGATTGAGCGACGCTCAAGCACAGAGCCAGGCTGGACAAACGACGGACAATCAACAAACAACTTGCCAGAACGGTCGCGCTGAGCCGATCGCTGACAACGCCAAGCAAGATCTCTCCAACGGTTTTGAGAATCGAACGATGGATTATGAGAGATTTACCCAGGAAAAGACGCAACATACCTCGATTACAGGAGGAGCTCAAGATCAGCAGTCGCAGCAGCATCGGCAGCAGCAGCAGCAGCAGCAGCAGCAGCAGCAGCAACAATCGCAACAGCAGCAATCAGCTCATCCTATAGCACAATATCCAGCAGGAAGAAGGCAATCCGTAGGATTACCGGAGGATAAACATCCTTCAACGGGTCAGCTGCCACCGCCGCAATACGGCCAGGATAAGAACAATGCGGACAGAACTCAGCACGTTTCTCAGACCAGCACTCAAACGGTGCCGGTGCAAATGCAACCACAGTTCGTTCCCGATTATGATCAGAGTCAGTATCCGCAGATACGAGGACAATTCGAAGTCAGATCGCAGATCTATCCGCAGTCGCAATACTCCGACAGAGCCGGTTACGTGACGAGGGACGTTACTTATCGAGATCCGACGCTTTACAGCCAGAGCGGCGCGACCAATCCAATGTTCACCGGTCAAGGTCAATATGTGACGGTCCAACAGATACCCTCGCAGTCCGCCAGTCCGCAGCCGCCATATTATTCGGGTGTCGTGGTGCCGCAGCCACCGAGCTACACTCAGTTCGGCACGCAGCCGCAATATCCTTACAGTCAGTATCCGCAGACTGTGATGAACGCCGTGCCGTACAATCCACACGCCGGCATATATCCCGCTCAGCAGTATCCCAGTCAACAATCGCCGAATCCGCAGAGATTCTCGCAAGAGATCGGTCAGTATCAGACGCAACCGATCATCCAGCCGATCGCGCAGAACGTGGCGCACGGGATCGCTATTCAGACGACGGAGCGGCCTTGTCGAGGACCGAAACCGATGGTGCCGCCTCGTGGCAATTCCAAAATCACCACGCACGATCCTGGACACAGAAAGTCCGCCAGCGTCGACGTGCCAGCGTTGCAGAAGGCCAAGTATGAGCCGACACCCACTCCGCAACAAGATCCGATTCATCGTGGCGACGGCGCTATTCTTGTGACAGGCGTGCCGATTGGACCGGACGGGCCGGATAGAAGATATTTAACTGCAATTAATCAAAATCCCAGGACGAGACAGGACGGTCTTTACGTGGATACGAATGGCGATCAACCGGGCAGAGAGAAACTGGTCGATACTATCGCCACGGAATGCGGTTTATATGTGTCTAGATCGGAGCATCGGAAATCTATATCGGTCGACGTGACTACCAGCTTCCAACGACGTAACGATACGATAACCTTCACGTTTCCCGGCGACGGTAATCAGGAGATTATGTCGGGAAGGAAAACTACGACTGTAGTAGACGCAAAAAGAGTGGAAACTAATCAAGTTTACCCGGAACAAAGGAGATTGGATGCGGGTTTACGCGTATCGCCGATGGCGTTTGACACGAGACAGGAAAACAGAAAGAGCATAGGGCCCGACAGAAAGCCCGAATGGGGTAATGTCAGTCCGAATCAAAGGAACACCATTCCTCCGGAAAACAGACGATCGGATTATTTCGAAGAGCATCGAAGATCGCCCATGAATTTAGAAGGCAAGAGAATAGAAGACGTGAGAAGATCGCCCATGCCCTTTATACCGATTCGCGAAACGTCCGCTGATCGCGCCGGACAGAAGAGTCCTTCTTTCGTTAGTCAAAACTTCGAGAAGACCAGGCAGGAACTGGCGATCTGGGCGGAGCAACGTCAGCGGCAAGAGCACGAGAGAAGCATGATGCAAGGCCCGATATTTACGACGAGTCCTCGTTCTCGAAATCCGTCGGAGGAGAGAAGAGACATTAGGTCAATTCATCCGCCGGACGATCGGAAAGAATCGAGAATGTCTCAGTCGGCCTTTCAGCCTCTTCCCAACATCAGCCAGAGTACCATAATGGAGCAACGCCGACACTTGAGACACGTCAGCGCCGATCTAACGAAACACATGGAACTCACGCGAAAGGATTTCGACGAGCAGCCCATCACAGGTTCCGTAGTAAATTTAGGATCGGTGGCCAGTACTGCTTCATCGCAACGAGCCAGTCCAAATCTTTGTCACCAGTATCCGGCTTTCAGCGAAGCAAAATTAGACACGAAGACGATGTTGACCGTGGTGACCGACTTTGGCGAGACGAACACGGGCAAACCAATTGAACAAGTCGATCATATAATTCATAGTCACCGTAAAAGTCATAACGCATCATCTTTGCTCACTCACAGCAAAAGTCAGACGGAAATTTTGCAAAATACACTGGAAAATCAAAGCGAGAAAACAGACTCTCTTCATGCTCAGCAACAAATGCAAAATCAACAATCTCTCGATTTAATCTCCGAGAAACTCAGTCAGTTCGAGCGTCAGCAAAGCGATCTTCAAGCTAAGTTGCAGTGTCTTCAGAATCAAAATCAGATTTTGGACAAAGTGGCGCAGTTTCAGCATCAGCAGAGCGATCTGCAAGCTCGATTACAAAGTTTGCAGAATCAAAGTCAATTAAACGATAAGACTCACAAGATCTCTAACGACTTTTCGTCGCTCCCGAGCGATGTCCATCAGATTCAAGCGAGTCCTCTGCCAAATCATCAGGAGCAGCCGTCGGATAAATCCTGCTCGGTTCACAATCATCAGCCCGTGCACAGCCTTCATCAAACGCTACTGACTACGACGTATCCGCAGAACACCACGCTTCAAAGCTGCCAGTCGTCTGTGTGTGAGAAATTGACATCTCGCGTGCAGCACGACGTTTCCGATCCGAATTCCATTCAGATACCGAACATGTCGCAAATGCCGTTACCGTGCCTCCCGCAATTCGATCGCACCGACGCGTCGCGTACTTCGTTTTCCCAGTTTCATCGGCTTCAGTGCCAGATCGAGAGTCATGAAGGTGCTTCAACAACGAATGCCGTTCTACCTGCCAGCTCTTTCACCGGCACACTGAAGAAAATACCGCCGGAGAAACCACCACGGACATCCTTGATTGTGCAATCGCCAGAAGCTGAGGTAACGTTTGAAAAAAAAAAGAAAAAAAAAATACCATTTGTACTTGTCAATGTAGTACTTTTGTCGCTAATTATGCAAATGAAATGCGCAAATACAGTTTCTCACGTTTGAGTAAGAAAATAATATTATTATTATTATAAATAATATTATTATTAGAAATAAATATCTATTATACCGATTATTTTAATTATTGATTTAACACATCGTACGCAAATACAGAGTTCAGTGATTGGAACTTTGCTAATTGAATTTATCAAAGTGTAAATAGCGGTCTAACTTAAATTCCTGCTTTTGTAGTAGTCATAGTCAATAGTCTTTGGGCGAATAATACCGCGAAAGCTCCTTTTATGTTACCTAGAATGTTAGAGAATACGAGCCCGGCTTGCGGCCGAGGAGATTGCAGAGTTGATAGCAACGGGCGAGATCCAGAGACGATGCAGGCAGATAGAGATCTGCGCTTGCAGTTTTTGTCGCGGCAGTCGAGTGGAATGAACTCGTTAGATATCAGACCTGATGTTGTCTTTGAAAACTTCGTTACGAGCCCTGTGTGTACCTTTTGCTCTACTTTCGAGCCCGGGCGTTCACAGTCTCGACATTCCTGTCGCGACCATAAAACGCGATGCTTTAGCGTCGCGTTTGACGGCAACGTTACTCGCTCGGTTACGAACGTGTTTCGAATACCGAATTTCAGATTTCTTCTATATGCTGTATTGCTATTTCTTGCACAACTGCACATCTTTTTTTGCATGTCTCCAATATTATTACTTGCGAATGAAAGAAGATAAAGTTATTAAAAAATGGCAAAATATTGTAAAAATAGTATACGCAAATTAATGTGTATGCATGATACAGTGTTAAGCCGATTTAGACGGCAATTCATATTTTTGCAAATACAGACAAATTTTTTACGATAAAATATTTATGAACGATGCTTTTACAAGTCGTGGAAAGAGAAAACTGGAAAGAGAAATAATTTTTTGAAGTCAATTCAGAAAAATGAAAGAGGAACAAATAAAAAAAATATGATTAAATAAAATGCATATAGTAATTATATATCATTATAAATATGTCTGTTAATTAAAATTGATTTTTTTCTCTTATTATTACGATTATTAGATTGTATAATTTGAATAAAATAGACATAACATACAAATTTACAGAGTACAAATTTTTTAAAAGATGTAATTTCTCTATTTTGATTACATTTATGAAAATTGCATGCCACAGACATGCATACAAAATTTTGAAAAACGGATATCACTGGCGTTATTCTACAAATAAAAATTGGAAATGTTTTAAATAGATATATTTTATCTTTATTTTAAATTTGTTGAATATTAAATTTTAAAATATTTTTCCATTTGTGGCAACATATTATGAAGACAAATAATATTTTCCTATGATGTGTATTTATGTGTGTTTGTCACTGTAGTCGCATCTGTGCTGACATTGTACCGGCAAAATTGGCGACAGCGTATAGAAAGCTTCGACGTTTGCCTACCTCGAAAGAGTAAATATCTCTCACGAATCCTGAACTGGACAATGAGAGAGTAAAGAGAAATTCGTATTTCCGGTGCTAGCACCTTAGCTAGCAGTTCCGAACTGATGTATTTAAAGAGTAAAATTGCTGAAACTCAATTATATACTTTTTATGATTTTAAAAAATTGTAACAAATTGATTATGTAAATAATAAACGCGACAAATTTTTGTTATTTTCTGCCATTTCAATTTTTGATAAATTCTGTTATTACAACGCAAACAAGTTAAATGTCATGAAATTCCAATATGTGTCTACAAATGTACTCATTTTGTGTATTATGTTGAAGATATATCGAGGTATTTTATCTCTATCAAATTCTTTTTATATCTTTATTTTTGTCGAACATTCTTTGCTGTCGTCACCCTCTTCGGTTACAATATCAGCGCTCCTTGCTTTTCAGGTCAACAAATAAAAATTCCATATGCTTTGATACATTCATCTCTTTGACCAAGTTCGATTTTATGAAAGCACCGTTGTTAAAGAGTGAAATTTTCAAAAATTATTTTTTCTAAGAATTTATTTACAGAGTTGGAAGAAATATTACTTCTTAAAAATAAAATACATTGATTTGTGCATAAATTATTTTATATACAGAATTTTTGCATTAGCTGGTAACGAGAGCTAACGGAAATATTAGTTGGTAACAAAAGAAATATTTCACGGCGGAAGTCGAGAAATGCGATAATTTAATGGAACTTAACCATACCAAAGTTAGAACAGACGGAATTGCTCCGCCACGCCCTAAACTTGTACTTTTCAGCTAAGGGAGCGAATCAAGTCAAGAAATGTTATGAATAATGGCCCATCATGAATTAAATATGAACAGTTAGGTCTTGCGTGCCGTGTACATTGGCGAAATGGCGTTACGAGAGTAAAAAAGGTGGGTAGGGTGGGCAGGAGATAAAGGGATGAAAAATCAGCCAAGAACAGGCGATAAACCGTCTAACTTTTTCGTGCGTAAAAACGAGGACGCTTCAATACCCTTTTACAATCCTTTTACCTCTTTTTACGATGAGATCATTTAGGACTTTGTGAGAGAACTTGCTGGCATGTATTCTTTGTGTTTTCCGATTTGTGATTAAAAAAAAACGCGAGCGAGTGCAGTGTCGTTAAATTACATGACTTTGAAATGTGTGAAACACGTATGCGATTACAGAACACGTATGCGATTGTATATTTTCGTTTTGAAAATGTTGTTTCTCGAACAGAGAGTACAGAAGCATTGACAAACGAAAGGATGTGCGACGCGGAATCAAATAGGATCAACACGATAGATGCTAAAATTCTGAAATACGCAAAAATCTCGAAATAACGACCAATAACTGTAGTCTACTCACGCGATCCTCGCAATAGAGCTTCCTGACACCATGAATTCTCGATCCGCATCATACGAAATGGAAAAATTTAGACGAAAATCAAACACACACACACACACACACTCTCTCTCGCTCTTTCTCTTTTTCTGGCAGGTATGCATTTTTCTCCTTTATAGACGATTTCGCTGACGCATATACATACGCAAACTTCTTTTTTGCGAAACTGTGCAGCGTCTGATAAAATCGGTCCTTTTACGCGAATCGATCTCATTGTGCTCTTGTTTCGCAGGAACGTTTTTTGCCAACTGATAGCGCGAGCTTTTGCAAATCCGCAGCTACCCGTTAGCCGAGTTTTCGCGAAAGTCCGAGCGTAACTTTCCGTCGCCACTTAACGCGGCGCTTGCAAATTGAGACTAACAGTCGCGGTTTATGCGCCACCGGGTATTTACGAGGATCGTTCTCACGGGGGAAAAAGAGGCCGGACCGTACATGTTTTTAATCCGTATATCTGTGGCGAGACATTTAAGCCGGTTGTTGATTTTATTCCGGTCTCCAATTACAAAATCGAACGTTACGCAGATTAGCCGCTCGAGTTTCTCCTCAGCGCAATTTCATGGACACCCACGCGAATAATTTGAGCCTTCGTCGTAATTGATGCGCGATCAATACTCGCGCTTTTATTTCTTGACCACCGTTGGGTTTCTCCCTTTCTCTCTCTTGATCACGGTGGTTTTATTTCAATACGAGCTATCTGCAAGCGTGACTGCGCAATCGTAATCAGAAGTGATTCCACGAATAAATTTTTGGTAAATATTAAGTTTCTTATTCTTGTAGGAACAAAATTAAAGTGACCTTTTGAAAGCTTATCTCTACAAAATTACTCTTTTTAATAAAATCTTCACTGATGTAACAAAATACTTTTTGCTTTCCAACCAGAAAGTATTCTGGTTTTTAATTTATTACTGTCTTTGAACCGAAAAACGCGAATTTGCGTTAATACGTGTATAACAACCACTGCACGGTATGAGTTAAGCAGATTTAGCGCGACGTATATAAGATTAAAGGTCATTTTATGAAGTAGTATGGGAGAAAATAATAACAGCATTGTAATATGCAAAATTAAATACAATTTTTACAAAAATTTTTACTTGACCAGGCTATTTTTCTTTATTTATTTTTAGGGTTAAAATAGTGTAGGTAGTTATTCTTGTGGTTTGATTGTTTTTGATTGTTTTCCATTTTAATTTCTATAATCTTTAGCAAGTCTTCCAAGCTCATTTTCATATAACAACCCCGAATATTAATGTATTTCATGAATATGCCATATGTTTTAACAAATTTTTGCAACAATTTCTAATAAATCAAAATAAATTGTAAAGTAATTATATAATGTAAGAAAAAGGAAATAGTATCATTCTTAAAGGAAAATTGTAGCACGAACAAGTTGATTTCTGCTTGTATCAATATTATATCAATTGATAAAACGATATATAATACTGTTGTGGAATAACAACAGCATGAAAATTACAAAGCAATGATATAATCTGATTGCAAGCGATAAATCAATAAATATACATATATATTTGGGAACTGTAGCATATTTCAGAATTGGCGGGAAAATTATTAAACATAATAGTATTAATATTATTGTTATTGTTAATAATGCAGTTATTATTATAAATTGATTATTAATTATAATTCAAATGTTTCCAATTATATTATGTTAAACAAGAAGTAAAATGCATGATCGTGAGGTGATTTTCACACATTGAGAAAGTATACGTGCATAGTTGCATTACAATCAACGAATCAAATAAACATTTTGTAATCGTCACGTCGCGACAAAATATCACGTTTTTTGCCAGTCGTGCATTAATTATGCAGTCAGCGATGGCCGCAATCTTTCGCGATCATCGGTTAATTTGTTTTCTGCGTACGCTCATGGGAAATCGACGAGTGGTGTAACGAAAACGCTAATTACAATTGCGGTACCGCAGTCCGAAACAGCTGGTTGGCACGCGCAATCGCGAGCATTGGAGCACGAAATGGATTAGTCTCGATTAAAATTTGATAAAAATTGAACCTACCTTGGTGCGAGAATAATTCACTGTAAATCTATTGTCTTCTGTGCATAAAAATGATA